GCTCTGATCATTTCAATTGTCAGACTGTCTCTCTGGGTCGTTTCTTTCCTTCATTTACTGCACGGTATGCCGAACTTCGCTTATGAGGACCGGGAGCGCATTTCTTTGTGGCTGCTGATATGCTTCTGGAGGGATGCGTGTCATTGATGTAAGGAGCTGAGTGTAAATATTCTTGCAGAAAGACTGTATCTCCGCTCTGTCAGACATCATTGCTCTATCCCCGTTCTTCATCGCTGTGATGGTCGACTGATAAAATGCTAACTCTGCTGCACTGCCTGAAGCTTATCAGTTCTTTTAATTTTCGCAATCAGAAGGTCTCGAAGTCCTCCTTCAATTTCCCTCTAAGGAGCTTGCAGATTAGAGAGTACTCCACCCTGCCAATTCAGCCTCTCTATATACTGCTCCGCTTCTCTAGCAAATTTTTGTCTCTTTTGAGATTTATCCTTTCGTTCCCTTTGATATTACCACCTCAGCTGACTTTACGCAACGCATCAGTTTCTTGGCTAACTTCTTGCAATCGTAGTCGCAGCTGCCCTTCAAGTTGCAGTCTTCGTTCGAAATGCGTACTTTGAGCACCACATCGTCGAATACCTTCGGTCGTTGTCTGCAATTTGCCATCTTCAGTGCATTCCTCTCGATCTATCCACGAAGGTTTGCCTGGACCTCACCACTCTGTGGTCACTGCGGGTGTTAAATGATAGCACTAATACTGTTTCTAGGATGATGCAGCGTTTATTGAAAGGATGAAGTTGATCTCGTTTTTCGTCGCCCGTTTGGCGCAATCCATCTTCTGTTGCTCTTCTTGTTGAAACAGGTATTGTGAATGAACAAGTGTTTCGCTTCTACTATGGTCACAGTCTTTTCGCTCATTTCGCTCTCCGGTGACGAAAGGTCTTCCTCCCCGACTTTGGTATCGGTTTCCCATGACGAGAATATACACAGATTTTGGGACCAGTGCCTTTTCCAGTTCCAGTTCTTTCCTTTTCCAATTCCACTTCGTTATCGTCAGCTGTATTTGTCACACCATAGGTTTCGATGGTCTTGTTCAAGGTCGTGTCATCGTCTTGTTCAGCTGGAGGCAGAACACGCTCAGTTTTCATGACTGTACATGAAAGCTTTTGCTGACCACAGATCTGGTCTTCGCGCTCTTTCCGCTTTATAGCCAAATCGAACTACCGTCTTTCCAGATGCAGTTCATCGCATTCCGCCGTCATGTCTTGCTTAGGTCAAGAATGTTTGAAAACATTCCTAATCTTTCCTGCATTAGTTGGTTTAATGTTTCTTGCCTCTTCACTGCAGTTGTAAGTGCAAACGGGGAGTAAAACTAGAGCCCGTTTACCAGATGGCAGTTTTTCACCTCGGTTTCTTAGAAGCCTCTGGTCCAGTCGAACACCGAACCGCTGCCGTGGGTCATAGCTTTGACGGTGGTCCGCCAATTCTATCCGGTTTTTTATCGGTGGTTTCTTCTAGCCTTTGACGAACCAACGTTAATCGAAAGGCAGCGGTGACAGTGGCGATCTGTTTTCTTCGAAGGGACGGGTCACTTTCCCTTGGACATGAGACTAATACTACTGAACACAGACCTTTTCGCCAATCGAACTTGCCAAACTCGAACCGTGTCATGCCCTGGTAGTCTCATCACTGTCTGTCCGCAACTGCTTATTTATCGCAGCTAACCTCCATACGTGGAGATCGTTTTCCTGTCCGCAACCCGGGACGCATCAGATGGCCGTCAGCTACTCACACTGGCACAGCAACACATCGACGCAAAAGCTGGACAGTGATCAAACTGCATGAAGATTTTCTGACAACAGCATGGTTAAACGTGTCCTCGGTTAGTGATAAGCTAACAGACACAGTACAGTACCTTTTCTCCCTACATTGAGCTCATTTATCCCTGCTCTAGGATGACAAAGTCTGCAGTAACCAGATACGAAAGTTGGTTTGTAAAAAGATAGCATAACTTGACATTTTTGAAAAATGTAGGATTCGCGTGATGAGTACAGCCCACGCTTCGCCTGTTGGTTCTATACCGTGTTGAAGTCGTTTGCATTCCAATAATTTACCCTGTTCAAAATATGGCCGCTGAATCCTAAGTCGTTACGTAAGGTAAGCTGGAGGTTGCAAACCCTCAGCAGGTTCGGCTACATCAGCGCTACTGTCCTAGCATTGGCTTGCAGCGATACCTCCCTAACCGACATGAAGTAAGGTTTTCTCAAAGGCTGCTTTCTCAAACTTAAAGAAAACTTTTTTCTCATGTAAACCGAAGCATATAAATGGAGCGACGCTAATCATTAGGCAGCTATTCGACCCATCTCTGGCTAGCCGACAGCCAATTTACGACCGTCTGCTGGTGCACATGTCCTCGTCACGACATCATATATTGCTGCCATTGTCGTCGCCTGTGTCATGATAGAAAAAAGACCACTGCGACTAAAACTACGTGTAATAAGAACCGAAATTCACCCTGCTGTCTGTCACAGCAAGATGATTATTATTTTAATATATGGCAGGAAATTTCAGGTACGAAGCAGCAAATGACAATTGTAGCCAATAACTCACAGACCTCTCAACCACCGACTCATGGTTTCAGCGTCGCAGAGTTCACCGCTAGGTTATGTGTTCTTACCATGGTCAAAAGGTCAAAGATATTGGTCCCGTCTTCACCCGACATCGGTACAGATGCATGGTCAAATACTGGAGAATCTACCATGGCACTAAAGTTTCTGTTAAAAGTCACCAGTGAGCATACCCGTTGTCACCAAAGTGTCGCTGCTCCTTGCTTGCATGAAACCCACCTCATTTAAGAAGCAATGCAGTGTAAATAGCTACATATAGGCAAACTAAATTTGAACAACCTCAAAAGATGTCGGCAATCACCTTTGATCTCTTGGTTCGAAACTACCTGGACGACCTTCCGAAAATTTTTTTCGCACTGTCGTACAATAATACTGAACTTCTCTTCGTCAGAAGTTGTCCTTCTTACAAATCCGTGAAGTTGTCCTCCAACAGTGGACGCGATTTGGGCGCTATCTGCCAACAGAAATATATCGAGAACAGCAAACAGCTGTATGTGATCAGTACAAGTCTGAAAGTAACCTTTAACTCGTTCGACGAGTGGCAACTTTAACTCTAAAGTGATTTGACATCCGAGACTTGCTACTTAAGTCTTTTACGACACTTATGCAGTGATATTAACGCAGTTTTCGAATCGGTTTAGCTCTCTCCGAATAGTTTCCCACATGGCTGCAAGTGACGCGAGGGGTTTGCTCAATCATTCGATCATTTACGGTACCAGAGAATGGATCATTGATCACATGTCACCGCCCCACTTGCTGCAGTACCTTAGTGCTTCAAAAGTACCCTAGGATGTTACTAGCAAAAGGGCGGTGCGAATAGGCTGTGTAAATTTCGAAAATTGGTTGTTAATCTCACTGGCGGTACCAAAAAAGCATTTCGCTAGTAAATCCAGAAGAGGGTTTTTAGCATATACTTCGATCTTAATATTTCTGCATTTCACCATATGCTGACGCAATGCCGACAATTCTACCTGTTCGTCGTAAGCGTTGGCAGGACTACAGTAATATATTAATCGCGTTTGTTTCTTGGCAGATTGTCTGCATTGACCAGCAATGTATTCTTGGTTCGGTTTAGCGTATTATACTCGAAGAATTGTTTGCTGAGGCAGATAAGGAATCAAATCGATGAAAACCTCAAACTTTTACCTAAAACTTGAACCCAACATTTATGTCTAGGGAAAACAGCTCGCAGGTGCTTCAGCGATACCTTTGAAATAGTCGTTGTATGGAATACTCTATAAAGGGCAAAAATTATTTGTTATTTATTTCTGCGCGCACACGCTAACAAATCAGCATTTGTAGATTATGGTATGAACAACACATATGCGCATTCCTAACGTAATGATGACTATCGTCAGGAAAGTGCAAGTAAACAATGAACGACAGTTCTAGGAAAGCACTGTTAGAATATGACTTTTCCGGCAGGAATCTTCCAAGCTTAATCCTTGCAGAAATCAGCCAACATCTATGGCAAAGGAACTCGTGGTAGAACTAACTGTGGTAGAAGGGTTTTTTTAACGGAGCCGATAGATTTATGCCTTGAAAGCAAATTTGCCAAGAAACACCAACTTTAAATTAGGTCAGATCCCGAAGGAAAAATGGCAAGTGGTTTTGTTCATGTCGTTCATCGTTTTAACATACGATGATGACTCGCAGACTAGAATGAAGGCGCATCCGGATGATGCCTAAAGGATTGTATCAAAAATGAAAAGAAACGTCTTTGTATCACTTCGATGTTCAAGATCAAGGATATTCATCTTAGCAATATTAAACAAACCTTTACAAAATATCGATCTATTGAATGGCTGCTTACATCTGTCAGTAGTTGCTGTAGATGAAAATAAAATCAGATGCACAAGAAACCGTCTGGATAACCTGCCATCATTTTATTGGCATCGAATTGACTTCAAGGATAGAAGTTAAATAAGTTGCACGTATCAAAATAAACAAAACATACAGAAGCAGACGCACAGCAACGGCGTTACAGGCAAGATGGCTAAGATCAGGCGCCGTTCTAGGCAACAGCGTTGTCGGAACAAGCCTTAAAAACTGCTGGCGATACGCAAAAACGATGTACATAATCAAATTTGTCAATAAGGTGATAATAGTAGTAAAAATATGCTTATTCAAAAAATGATTGCTCCACTGTTGAGTACGAACCTCGTAGCCATTCACGACGTTAAAATATGTAATAGGTAACGAACGATAAAGATATTGAAAGTATTCTCAACTCTACAATCTATGACCGTGGCAGTCAATTCAACGAAAGTAGGAATGGCTGAAAAATACTTCTTGAAAAGTTCACTGAACGGCACAGCAACGGCAACTTCGCTTTTTTGGTTTTAAGTGGACAACTTCAACAGTGCCTGCTTTTGGAGATGGTACAGTTTTCTGCTCAACAAGTTTTGTTTCTGGCTTGTCGCCGTTTGCAACGTTCAGAGATATCTGAGTAGGTTTCATCGCCACTTCGGAACCATTTGCTTTGTATTCCGTGTCTTTATACACAGAATCGAAACCGGCTACATTGTCCAACTCGGTAGGGTAGGGTTTTCTGCGATAACTTTCAACTATCGGGTCGACTTCATGACATAAATTGCCATCAGGTCGAAACGGATTTTCTTCCACTTCGGTCATTCTGAAAATGAGTCAAAAGTTGACTGAAAGTTTGACATAAAAAAACCGAATTTCATGCAAAGGAAAAAGAAAACTCAGTACCTAGAATCCGACAGTGCAGCGCTACGGGGAAAGAGAAGTAATGAGTAAGAAATGAAAACATAGACAAGCCACAATTACATGCATGGCGACAAAGCTTAATTTTATCTGGATAACATTGCAAATAATATTTCATCAGTACCGGGAGTACATCCGTTACCGCCATATATCACTCACTGGCGTAATTTTAGTGCTCATTTTATGCCAAAAACTATTCCAAAATAAAATCTTAATACTCCAGTCAGACATCGAATTTACACAGGTTTGACGACTAAACAAGGTTGACTTGAATACGTAAAAAATCGCTCAACTTATTGGGTTATTGATGAGAGAAAAATATCTGGTCGATCATCACGCTGGCAGCGCTGTGAGGAAACAAGTTACGGCTTGGCGTCGCCAATCGATACTGTGTCAGTCCATCCAC